CATCTTCCCAGAACCTGTGGGCCCTCCAACTGAGAGATAGTGTTAAGAACTGAAAACTGACTAATGTCGGTGGCTGACAGGGACCGATCGGAAGGACTTGGCTTCAGCTTATGTGCTGCACCCTCGCAAATATCCGTAGGGTGTCCTTGAATTTCGGACGGGCAAAGACTAATCCTAAGGAGTACCTTTCGGCGAGATACCGATCGGGACCGAAGGTTAAGTCGAGTGTCAGGCCAAGGGGGTCAGGACCGAGAGTGGACGAGCGCACGCGAAGGCGGATGAGGGGATTCTTAGTATGAGACTGTTACAGATGTAAGAGGGTATTCTAAGTCGATATTCTGATTGCCTAGTAACTACAACTACAGCGGGTTCATATACAAGTAGCAGGCATCTAGAAAATACTAATGGGGAGAAGGGCGGAAAACGGTATTAGCAATAAGCTTGACTAAGAACAGGAAGTTTATGATTAGTTCGGGGGCCGAAGAGATAACCGAGAGCGGATTTACAGAAAAAGGAAATAGTTCGAGGACTACAAATATAGATAGACATATGTGAAACATAGGATAGGACGGATCATGAGAATAAAAGAGACGTATCAAAAGTTTAACCAGATAGTACGAGTATATTTTGACATGGGTGTAAACGGGGTTTGATCACTGCGAAAGCATACGTCAGCTTCGGGGGCCGATGGTCTCCGATGTGGTGACTTGAACAGTAACTCGAATCGTCGATAGGTGGTGATAACCTCGGGGACCGATAGGGTTGCGACATGGTCGTAACAGATAGTGTATTCTCAGAGCCTAAGGCTTCCTGTCTCTATCTCATTGTGTATTCCTGGACTCCCTAGGTTTCCATATCCCTCCATCTGAAATGACCCAACAATCATATGAGGGCACAGCAGCTACACTGAGGCCAAGTGCTGCTACCTGTCCCCAGAATATCTGGGGGTTTTACCCAGATTGGCTTCAACTTATGTATGTGTTGCACCCTTGCATGAACTGTTAGGGTGCTCTGATATTTTTGAAGAGCAAGTAGTATGATTTGTTGGCTGAAGATGATACTAAACTGAATCAACTGGAAGGCCAAAATGCTAAGGGTCATGAGGATACATAAGAGTTGCAGCTGGCTGATGATGTCTACAAGAGTATTAGGAGCAAGCAAAGGGGCTTAAACACAAAAGGGGCAATCTAAGTCAATATTCAAACTGGAGAAACTATAGCATACATGAGAGGGTTTTTTATACAAAATGTTAAGTTCCAGATCTTGGGATGGAATTCCTGGTGGATATTCTGGACACTTCCCAGAACATGTCCATGGAGTTTCCAGGGATTAGTTCAGGGAGTATCAGAATATTACCAGAGAGTACAGATTGGACTTGGCTTCAGCTTATGTGCTGCACCCCTCATGCACTCACTTGGGTGTCAAAATTTCAGAGGGCAGATATATCTGGAGTGTTTACAAATACTTGGAGTTCCTGGGGGCTCTGGATGTCCAGAGTCTGGAGAGTTCCAGATATCGAGCATATAGACCTCCATAGAATCCCCATTGAAGGAGAAACTGGCTCCCAATCCAAAAGGCAACCCTCTGGACTCCATGCAGGTTGAGGGTTGTGTTAACTCTCTGCACATTCATGAGTTCACCCATCTTAATGCATCCACTCTTTTGAACTCTGACTCATTATTTGTAAATTTTACCTGTGATATGATCCCACACTCTATTTTTTCCACTCTTTTGGATTCTGGCTTGACCCATTGTTTTGTAGATATTGAATTCACCTGAAAAAATTTGTTGTCAACCTATTTGATAAACCTGGTTGGACTCCAACTTTTTGATGGTACAAACAATTTGGTTATCACCCAAGCTTGTGACCTACCTATCTGGATCCCATGTGGAACATTACAGACAGTCACTTTCTATGTGATGCAGTTGGACTCAAGTTCCTTGGTCATCCTAGGACATAACTGGCTTACCTGACACAATCTGTTGATTGACTGGGTATCAGGCAGTATTACTTTCTGAATGCCCATGGCACCCAATATAACTGTATCATCCCTGGCCATTTCAGCACCCATTGCCTCTATGGCACCCCTGGCTTCCCCGGAACCCACAGTAATCCTATCCATTTCCCTTATTAATGCAGCAGCTTTTATTAGGGCTACAAAATTGGAGGGATCCCAGGCATTCACAATCAATTTGAAAGTTGATGAAGCAACCAGACATTTTGCAACTCCAGAATCCAAGTACATCACCAACCTAGAAGGCATCCCAGAGAAATATCATGACTTTGTGGATGTTTTTAGTAAGTGAAAAGCTGACTGGCTTCCACCCCACAAACAGTATGACTAAAAATTTGATCTTGAAGCTGGGGCCCAGCCACCCTTGGACATACATATTTACCTATTGTCCTCCACAGAACGTTCCACAATCCAGGATTTCCTGGACAAACACTTGTCCATAGGTTTTATCCAAGGTGGAGATATCATGGTGTAGGGCTGTATGAGTTGGAATGGAGTGGGAAGGCTTGCAGAGATTGAAGGAAGGATGGATTCTGCACAATATGTGGAGATCCTGGCTCAGCATTTGTCCCAGAGCATTGAATCCAGCAGATCAGGCCATTTTCCAGCAGGATAATAGCCTAAACACATATCCAAGATGGCACAAAAATGGTTTTTTGAAAATCATATTCAGGTGTTAGACTGGACAGCACATTCTCCTGACCTGAATCCCATAGAACATCTTTGATTCCACCTGAAGAAACAACTCCAGAAATACCCTTCACCATTAAAGGGAGTTTAGGGGTTATAGGAGAGGGTGGAAGTGGAATGGGCAAAGATTGAGCCTCAGAAGTGTCAGAAACTGATTGAAAATATGCCCAGAAGACTTGATGCTGAATGAAGCCTAAGGGAGGCCATACAAAGTACTAGAATAACAAGATATCTGATTCAAAAAGGGTGGTTGCAAACTGTCCCAATGATTGGTCATTTTTAAATATTCACTGTGACACCAATATCCATCTATATTATGTAATATTTGGGTATATCAAAGCTAGTATGCTAAGGTATATGTGAGAATAATTTCACTATTTTAGAAAATTTATTTGGTGGGGTATAAAGCATTTATTGAGAATTACCAAAACATTGGGACAGTTTTGGAAGCCACTGTAAATACTGATAGATTAATTAGCTGCACTATTAAGCTTAAACAACTAAAGTCAATATTTGTTTGGTCTCTTGACAAATTCAGATGAACTTGTAGTGATGGGCTCTACAAGAGTTAATTTCTTCTTGAGAATAAAGGTTCGGGAGCTGAATGTATGCACAATAAGCTGGCAGAAACTTGTTGTAAGCCTTCGCTTTCTTGTATCCTTTTAGTTTACTATTTATAAAGATTTAACAAGCTGTTAAATAATTTATAAATAGAGAGATTGTCCAAGACTTGAATATCCAAGCATTTGTTTAAAGATTGATTAACTGTGCTGTTAATGTGGGCTCTTGAATAACCTAAATGGGCAGGGATTTCAGTAATAAGAATTTAGATTTACTTAAGTGATTAGTAAGCCTAAAGGTTTCTGGGAAGCTGAGGGAACTTAGATGAATTAGCTAAGTTCAAGAGTGCTGACAAAGAGTTCAAGATTCTGCAAGTATAGGTGCTTGCAGTTAGTATATCAGACTAAGTCCTTAGGATGATGAGATAAGCTTCTGAGCTGGTGCTGTTGATAGTAGTAAAGTAGATTGATTTATTCAGTGATTTGGGCCTCTTTTTATACATCTAGAGAGTTCTGCTTAATAATATCTAAATAACTAATTAGGAAATTATTAGAAGCTTCTACAGGTTTCCATAATTCCGCTATGATGTCATAACTATCATCTGACTCGAAGATCTGATCTGATGAGTCATAAGCCATGCCCGAGATGGCCCAGGCTGGAACCAAAACTTCAAAAGCCAGATTTGAATAAAACTGGCCACTCGGCTGTGGGAATGGCACGTGTTGACTTGTAAATGTGTTGTTGAGTCAATGATTATGTAATGTCACATGATAAAGCCAAAAAAGTGTGCATATATGCAGTGATTATGAGAAAAAGGACCAAATCACTAAAAATAGATAAATTGGCTTATTAATCTTAACTTTGGACCGCTCTAGGCTTCAATTACATAATGTGACATTATTTGAAGCCTTGAGTATGCGAAGTTAAAAGGAAATAGCCATATTCTTGGAATAATAAATAAAATAAAGTAAATGGAAATAAATTGAAATAAATTTGGGAAAATTAAGGGAAAATTCATGAAAATATACTGGATACATCACAACCCCACTCCCATTCCATTCCATCCCTAATACCTAGTTTGGTATTTACTTGTTTCATTTTATGTTTAATAGTTCTGCCCCTCATTAATACCAGATTTGGTATTATTACATTTCACAGTCTATATAAGTCTCCTATATTCATGTACTTAGAATCCAGACTAAATCTCAAACAAGTTACACTCTCGAACAAGTTACACCCTTGAACTACTGTAGTTACACCCTGAATATGTCCTGATCCAGTCTCGACTCCTCTTGTCTGTCTGCATGCTCAATTCCCGGAACTCCCACAGGAACTCCAGAATCTACATCTTCCTTGTATGCATTCTGTCAGCTTGAAATATGGACACCCAAATGAGTGTATGAGGGTACAGCACATAAGCTGAAGCCAAGTCCACCTCAGCAGTACCTACACTTCTGGTAATTATTCTGATACATTCCTTGTACTAATATCCCTGGAAACTCCCCCAGACTAATTACCTGGGGACACCATGTGTGAAGAGTGGTGGAAGTTCTTACCATTCTATATACAAAGAAATGAGTGGAATGGGAAGAATGTGTTAGATTATATAATACCAACCATTGTTCCAACTGGGTCCATATGGTGTACAGCTCTGAGTTCAGTGTGTATATGATCTAATAGGAATGGTACTTAGGGTTATATCCTTAAGTACAGTGTAAGACCAAACCTACCCAAGGTCAGATGGTGTAGTGGTTAAACACCTTCATTATGTAATCGAGAGATCCTGGGTTCAATCCCCAGCCTGGCTATTCATTTTCTACATTACTTATGTTCTTTAACAGAATGATAATTCAAGTGGAGGCCTCGACTGCTATAGTTTGAGGTCTGAAGTGTTAGATAGCTCAGATAATGCTACCTATGTGGTAGCTGACATGTTACCCTGATCACCACTCGCTGTAGACCTAGTTTGTGTCTTACAAGTGGTGGTGCTTGGGTGTTACGACCCGTTCCCGGATGTTTCAATATCTGACTTCCGATCTCCGACTTCCAACTTCTGACCTCCGACTACGGAACATCACAGTTACCGTATCATCTGCGTTCTTCGTTTGTTCCGCATTTGGTAATTTGTCCGTTGACAAGTATTCACTCGTTTGTTTGTTATATTCCCGTTTCGGAATATTGTCTCCCTATTATGTCTTATTGTATTTCCGTTTAAGTACACTTCCGTTTCCATCTTATTATGGTCTTAGTTTGTAGTACAATAATGAGTAGACTTATATTAGTTTCCGCGAATTTGTACTTTACCTTAGATCTGATATCAACTTAGTTTCTTATTCCTCCTCCCGTCTTTCTGTACACTCGATATTCGGAAGTCTTCGGAACTCTGAATATCCGTATCTTCCATCGTTAAATCTCATTTCTGAAATTAAGGACTTTGAGCGTTTGCGTAGAGGTGCAGCACATAAGCTGAAGCCGACGTCCTGACCCTATCCAATAGTTCCCAACTTTCCGGTGACTTCCCGATAGTTCCGGAATAAGTTCCCGACACGGCACTTAACATTGGGTAAAAGTGTGTCTGAGTTTCATTTGGTGCCGAGTGCACCCACAAGTATACACAAAGCTTCGAACTAATGAAATGGTGAAATATTTGAAGAATATAAAGGATAGAAAAATATGAATAAAATGTGTAAAATATAAATAAAATAAAAGGAGTGTTTTACCACAATGAAACTGTGGTAAAAGCATACTCCTCACACCATGGGACATTCCCAGAAGATGTTTGGAATAATTATTGGAAACCTCCACAGGACTTCTGGAGATCCTTGTATTTGGAACTTAACATATTGTTACGACTGTGTCACAACCCTTCGCACGCCGACGGTCCCCAATGGTATATCGTCGTAGTTATCCGTCTTCAATCAAGATGAGATCTTGGAAGCCATCGGTCCCCTGACGCTGACATATGCCTTCCGGTCAATCAAACCCGACTACACCTTTCTGTCTGGTTATGCTTTGATACGTCCCTTTTATTATGTTGATCCGTTCCATTCTATGTTTCACATATGTCTATCTATATTTGTAGTCCTCGAACTATTTCCTTTTATCGTAATTCCGCTCTCGGTTATCATCGGCCTCCAAACTAATCATAAACTTCCCGTTCCTAGTCATGCTTATTGTTAATACCGTTTTCCGCCCTTCTCCCCATTAGTATTTTCTAGACACCTGTTACTTGTATATGAACCCGCTGTAGTTGTAGTTACTAGGCAATCAGAATATCAACTCAGAATACCCTCTTACGTCTGCAACAGCCTCATACTAAGAATCCCCCCCATCCGCCTTTGCGTGCGCTCGCCCACTCTCGGCCCCGACCCCTTGGACTGACACTCGACTTAACCTTTGGTCCCGATTGGTATCTCACCGAAAGGTACTTCTTAGGATTAGTCTTCGCCCATCTGAAATTCAAGGACACCCTGTGCATATTTGCGAGGGCGCAGCACACAAGCTGAAGCCAAGTCCTTCCGATCGGTCCCTGTCGGCCACCGACATTAGTCAGTTTTCAGTTCTTAACACATATATGCAGTAACAATATTCAATATTGTGTACACCAATTCTTGGGCTTATCCAAGCCAAAATGGAGGCAGGAGAGCCAGTGCAATGGTTTGGGAGTAATTATAAATACCCATAATAAGCTACATTTAAGTTATAGGCACAATGCCCCATACTACTATGCATATATCCCAAATTGTTGTGTCTTAATCATGCCCTGTTTGCAAGATACAGCATGATTGTTTGACAATCTAAAACAGAATTTTATTGAAATTGGAACTCTGCCATCAGTACCTGGAACAGCTGTAACAATATAATGGTCTCAGAATATATACCACTATTTAAAGATGAAGTTTTGTAGCAATATTGCTTTTATTAGTAAACATTTGATATTAAAATGATTACAGACAACCTCCTAACCAGAACTATCTGGCCTACCAATCTATTTTGTGGAATTTATTTCCAAAAGGATAATCTACATATGTTTGTTTGACTAACTTTTGTCAGATACAAGATTAATATTAATATTTCCTTATTCTCCAGAGTCTCACCTGATGGACTGAATTTGATGAAATATAAATTCTACAGCAAACAATATAAATATATATACTTGAGTGGATAAATAACTTTTAAAGTTTTTGGTTATCCTCCTGTAGAATACTTATACTAGTCCTGCATACTTCACTATTATTTGTGCTGCAGAACCCTCCATCTGTTTAGACATTTAGATATGATATTAAGATCATACAAACTGAGATTTGGACCAAAAAGGTGTGCAGTTGTGGCAGGGGAGCTCATTCTTGCACAGCATGTTAGGACTGGAAAACCCACTGGGCTCCAGACCCCATCCTACATGCACCCGACTCACCATACCAAGTTACAGCTAAACCAGAAAACCTGCTGGGACCTGGATGTCAAGCCTGTCTATACCCGACCCTCTGTGTCTCGCACATCAGTCATCAGACTCCACCAGGACCCATGCATGTATAGCCTGTCTACCCCTGACCCCCTGTGTCTCGCACATCAGTCACCAGACCCCACCGGGACCCACATATGTCAAAGCCTGTCTATGTCTGACCCCATTCCATGTACCAGTCACTGGGCTCTGCCCAGATAACCCAACAGCTCTCTAACTGAGCCCCATTCCTGTTATGGTCTAATGACCTGTCATGTTTCAGAACCTTGAAGCACTTGCAGTGTGATTAGAAATCGGGATGAGAGGGAGGAAATGCCTTGATGGTGTTTAGCAGAAAGTCGGAGGGCTTATGAACGTGAAATGCAAGTGGCTCTAAGACATGGCCACAAGAAGAAAATGGGGATTATAAGGGTGGATTAACTGTAACAAGGTGTAGGGCTATGGCCTGTGTGGAAAAAAGCAGTGGCCTTTGTCTTTCATTTTTCTAAATCATTGTTTTCTCCAAAAGGCAAAGATAGGGAAAGTCGCGACGTAGGGAGCTTCTCTTATTGATACAAAGAATGATCGACTTCGAGGCCCGAAACATACAATCAAAGAAACAGGTTCTATTATTTACATAAGATAGATTCATCAATCGATCGAGGGCATTAATAGAGCAGGGAAAATCACTCCCTTTGGACCAAGCTCAGTAGTAGACTCCTAAACAGTAACTCTGGAAGGACGAAATGGTAGGGGTAGCGGTATCCCCCTGATGAGAGCTTTCGTCGGCTCGAAACTGTTACAGTCCATTTCTCCTACCCACCCTCTACTCTAGCTGACAAAGTTCAATCTTCGGAGATAACTGATTGCGGCGATTGATAAGGTGGTGGTCTGCCCAGCGGCGCTCCGGTGGACGCTGGTGACCGTGCGTTCCCATGGTCACCTTGCTAATACAGATGACAAGAAGATCATTAATCTATTATTAGAGAGTATTTGCAAAGTAATATTATTAACAAACTGAATTAGTTCCTGATACTCAATTGTTGATATTTCATGAGTTACAAATACTCTCTATTAATCTCTGTATACTTTTGTAAAGCGCTCATTTTCATTGAAATTGATCATGTGGATGTGTAAAGCCATTTTAGTAAAGTGAAGATGTCCATACACGTTCTTATGTTCCTTAAAAGCTTGCTATCGATAACTTCAGTCGCGCCTCGCATTTCTCCCTTTTTATATGACAATGTCCACAAGCTCTCTTCTTATTTCCGGTCATATAATTGGCATTGCAGTCCCAGGGTGGGTATGTGGTGACCTTTCCCAGTGAATCACACTGACTTTATATTCAGGACACCAAAAACCTCTAGCCGCATTGGCCAGCAGGATCGTTCAAGAATGTTCTGATATATTGTGTTGTGAAAGAAAGCATAGCGATTGAACTACTGTGATGTATTAGCCTTATTTTAATACTATTTTCTGAAAAAGGAGTCCAATGCTCTATCAAAATGTGCAAATACTCAATTCACTGCAAGGTAAAATAATTTAAGTATTTGATATTAATCAGTGGCAGCCTAAATAGACTTAGAACCCCTGAAGTCAAGAGTTTACTTGAATATATGCACCCTACTTCACAAAGAAGGTTTTGAGAGCTGCTTGTGCAAGCTTGTTCTTTTTCTGTAAAAACACTACTAAAATATGAATAACAATTCACTGATTCCGAAACTAGATTCGACTTCGATTCTAGCTAGTTTATATATATTTTATACTATTTATCAAACAGTAAAAATATTTATAAACAGGTCAAAAGATTAGATATAGAATAAAACACTATTTGGCTAATATATGCTTTATTTACACTAACCTACAGGGTCTACTGTGATACTAACTTATCAGGATCTTAATGTAGTCTTAAGGATTCTGCAAGAATATTCTCAGTATTTGTTTATGCCAAAAACCGGGTAGAAATTAGAATATATGTATTTCTAATCTCAATATAACCTAAAATATTTATTACTTTAACTGATAACCAACAACTCAACTAGAGGTGGATTAGTAATAAAGGATAGCCAGCTACTCAACTAAGAGGTGGCAAAAGAGGAACAAGTTGTTTGTCAGAAGCTCAACTAGAGGTGACAAGGGGGTAGGATTATTACCAGAAGCTCAACTAGAGGTGGCAAAGGGATCCTGAGATAGCTTAGGTCAGCAGCTCAACTAGAGGTGACTAAGTGTTTATATATATTTATCCAACAGCCCAACTAGGGGTGGAATATTACTGCTGATGCAGTGGCACACTGATGTGGTGTAGTAAATGGGTTAAAATGAGTTATATTTCAGTGGTGGAGCAGAGCTCCTTATATACAGTAAAAT